TCACAAGGTGATTAATTCTATCTATATGGTTATAGAAAGCTTCAAGCAGAAATGCATTTGAATTTTATTGTGTGAGATGAATGTGATTCCCCAGGTAGAAAGGAGAGGGACAGCATTCCAAGCGATGAACAGCATGGGTAAAGTCAGAAAGACACTAAGGTATTAGGAATGTGGCTGAAATGATGATAAAATGTAAAATGGTCTGTCCTATAGAAGGCCACATCCCCTATAAACAATGAGCAACTATTGAATGCTAGAGTAAGAAGGATGCATTGGATTTTGGTTTGCTACTATCAAGAAACACATTTTTCAGACTTCTTTGTGAAGAAATAAATTTATTCTAGCTTAAAAAAAGAAAAGATTTCTACTTTGTTAAGAGTGCTTTTTCCCTATCTGGATAAATTTCATGTTTTGAAGATATGAATGAATAAATGTCTTGTGGGTTTTTTTTTCCTATCTTTCTGCCTTGGCAACTGCAACATACATAATAGGCTCTTTTCTTTTCTAAGTTTTAAGTTTAGGGGTTGGTATGTATTTGAAATCTCAAAGTCAACTTTAAGTGACAGTGCCCACAAATAATCTTCGGTAGCCAAAACATTACTACACGGAGAAGAAAGCATGTCTCCAAAATGAATGCTAAATTAACAAATCACCTTAATGGTAACCTTCAGATTATGAACATCACCATATTGTAAAACATCATAAGTTCCTAAATATCTAACCTCTATAAGTCAGGCATTCAAAAACTCTAAGCAGGGCTTATGAATCCTCAGAATTTGTTGAATCACTGGCAAAAAAAAAAAAAAGGCTTTTAGCTTTTATAACTGTCATGTAATTCTGCCTTATTTTATTAATAAAAAATTGATTCCTAACTTTTTTCAATGAAGTCTCTCCTTGAAACAATTCATGGAACATCAAATTAATTGATCTATATTCAGGGGAGCAGAGCAAGCAGCGTGTGCATACGGTTACATTGTAGCCCACTTACGAAACCGAGACAGCATTAAGTAAAGCTTCCAAGGAGAACACAATGAGAATTTCCTTGCAATCCTATTGTTTAAGAAAAAAATCATGTTTTCGGTAATAATTATTGCAGATAATAAATAGTGTGCACTTGAAAAAGGTGATGCATGAAGTTGTGATACTGAAGTCAAATGTTGAGTGGGGATTCCAGGAAATTGAAGAGCCCAAGGATATGGAAAGTCTGCTACAGAAAGAAGCCCTTTGTGAGCAGAGTCCACAAAAGGGAGAATCCCTGTGACCTGGAGCCTGTCTGGACACATGAATAAGGCTTACCAACCTTTGGAGCACATGGCATGCTTGCTTCCCATGTTTCCTGGATGTCAGACACAGCCAGCAGGGGCTCATATTTGCCATGATGGGTTTCAGTCTTACTTTGCCTCATCCCACATTTCCAGGCTCCAATTCGTCCCTTCAGAGTGGGAAACTTTTACCTGTTTCACCAGTGTTTATGTTGAAGGTACCTTGCTGTTTTCAATCTTAGATGTGTCCAGAGTTAATAGTTTGCCACGAGTCTCGGAATAGACTTCACACTTTGAAATAACAGTGAAAGAACTTTTAAAGTGACAGGAGTTCTCTGTGGTTGGTTGGATACATTTTTATGTTGTAATATGTTTATGAACCAAGGGGTAATGGTAGAATGGTGGGGTTTGTATATGAAGGATCCTCAACCAAAAGACTCATATACCAAAGGTGCAGCCCATAATGGAACATTGATCAAAGGCAGGAACCTTGACCAGTGTGAGAACATCTTGCAGTACTTACCACAGCCAGTTCAAACAGGAAAACTGGCAACATAGGTAAAACAGCACTTGTCACAAAGTTATCCAGAAAATAGTGTCTTTGTTTTTGGAGAAGAATATTCTGTTTCAGGGGACGAGTATTTAAAAGGAGGATTTACAAAAATGATATTTGGTAGCTGAAAGGAGACTTTGCAAAAATAATATTTAAAATATTGAAAGTGGAAATGTGGGGTTACTAAACAGGAATAAGAATGAAAAGCCGCAAAACTGAACAAAACACTTGAAAAGGTTAGGAGGATGAAAGCAGGTTCATGATCAGTGTATGAGATATGAGTAGCAGGGGTCAGCCAGTAAAGGAACGCTTCGGGGGTTGGGAACTCAGAATGGCCCCTCCGTCTTCAGTCCCTCCCACATCACTCTGCCCCTGGAGATTCAACCATGACATATTTTACATGTTTGGTCTCTCTGTTTCTCATTGCCCTTTCCTCATTTGGTAAGAGCCTTTATGAAATATTTCCTAGATTATGTCATGGGTTTCCTGTTTTAGTTATGATAGTGTTTGGGAATTATTAATAATAACAATAAAGCACATTAAATGACTTAAAATTTTGAGTTTATATTTTAATTTGAAAAAAAAAATGCCTAATGGTGAGTGACTACTTTCATTGGCACGGCAGTCCTATGGCATTTGGGGTGTGTTTCTGCTACTCTCTAGAACTTTTTTTTATTACTATATGGCTACATTATCTTTAATCATTTTATCTGTAATTTAAAACAGAAAAGGTGAAAGCCACACATGTACTATTCTGTAATTCAAGATGTGAGGTTTCTTAGAAGCCACTCACATGCTCCTGCCTAAACCTCATTTTATCCCAGATAAGAGTCTTAGCTTGCCACACCGCAAGTGCCAAGAGAAGATGGCCCAGTGAGTAAGAATGCCGATTGTGTTCACAGTGTCAATAGCTAATGCTTGCATCATGCTTTACATCTGAAGATCTTGTGTCTATCGCCCGCTCTGATTATCTAGCTGCTTTCCAAGTATAAACACCCAATCACACTCTTGTGTTAGCTTTGCACATAAGCCAGTCACTATCATCGATGACTCTTACCTGACTTTCTAGTCAGTACACAAAGCAAACTTTTAGAGGGTCTATGATATCTGCTTTGACTCTCTCTTCTTGATAGTCAATATGGACATAGAAATTTGTCCCAAAATTTAAGTTTAAAAGTGCAGTATCTTAACTGGGCCATGGTGATGCATGCCTTTTATTCCAAAACTCAGGAGGCTGAGGCAGGTTCAAAGCTAGCATGGTCTACAGAGTGAGTTCCAGGACAACCAATGCTACACAAAGAAACTCTGTCTAAAAAAAAAGAAAGAAAGAAAGAAAGAAAGAAAGAAAGAAAGAAAGACCAAACTAACAATAACCACAAAAGTGCAATATTTTTAGTATTTTCTCTTTTTTTTTTACCTTCCGTAATCTTTTTTACCTACAATGTATACCCAAATATTCCCATTTAGCCTTTAAAACACATTTGCTCCTAAGAACTCAATTGTACTTGCTCTCTTTCTTAATTCTTGATTTTGGAATGGGTACTCTGGTGTCTTCCTCAGATCTACTCTTCATGATCCATATATGCTTCTCATCAGCTACTGGGAATTTTTCCTGTTGACCACTCTCAAAGGCATTTCCTGGAAATGAATTGGGCAGTGTTCCTTCTGTTTCAGTTCTGTGGAATATTCTAGGTAGTATTGGCATTAGCTCGTCTTTGAAAGTCAGGTAGAATTCTGTACTAAGACCAGCTGACGCTGAGCTTCTTCTAGTTGGGATACTTGTAATTATTGCTTCTCTTTCAGTAGGGGTTATAGGTCTGTTTAAATTGCTTTCTGATATTGAATTAACTTTGGTAAGTGGTATCTATTAAGAAAATTATCCATTTCTGCCTGGCGCCATCCACGACAATGGACAGGACCCAGCAGAGGATGTTAGGAGTAGAGCAGGCGGAGGAGGGAGTGACCCAGGCCATGATCATCAGGGGGAATCTTGCAGCCTGACTGACTGGCAGCCAGAGTGCTTTTTTATTTATACAGAATTTAGTAAGTAGGATTACATTCATGTTGCTCCAAAATAAAGATCATATAATTTTTGTTTTGGACATGTGTCTCACTTCTTTTGTTCATCTTTTAATCATCATTAATAAGCTATAACAAAACAGAGTTATGATTTCCAATCATTTTCCCTCAAGTTTTAACATCATTAATAAAGAGTTATCATTTTTACTCATTAACCCGATAACTCAATTTTTAAGAATCTAGAGACATATGAAAAGTTGTTCTCAGGCTGGTTGCTTCTGTGGCTACAAGGACATTTGACCAAAACAATCTTTAAGCCGACCTGGGCAGGCTGCCATGTTCCAAGCAGTGTATTACCAACTCTAGATGGTCAAATGCCCAAGAAATATCCTCAGCTCAAAACTGCAACAGTTATTATTTAAATTCTGGCATAATACAATGCTTATATTTTATATCTTTAGAGAATACTTTGATCATCTTTCTACATTTTTTTTTTTTGCCCATCAGTATAAGTCTCTGTGTAGGCCAGAGGTAGCTTCAGCTAGTCTAACTTGGTTGCTGTCTATGCCATGTGATTTCCTGGATGTATAGTGGAAACAGACTTGTAATCTGAACTGTGGCCAACTCCTCTAGACCACCTTTTTACGTTGACTTCATTTTGGTTATCTTGTTACTGACTAAGTAGAGGAACAGATGTTTCAAAAATGTCTCATAGCCTCATAAAGAGACCTCTGGCTTCTTTATGTGTGTTACAACCTCCAAGGCATAAAGAAGACCTTCAAGTAGATAAGGGAATAATATGTTTTGGACTCTCTCGGGGAAGCTTGGAAATAGCATAACTGGGAGAAGGTATAAATGATTCGTAAGAAATTTTCCATAAATCCAATATCCACAAACTGTAAAAATACTAAAAGTCTCTCATGTATGCAATGGTGGAGATGAAAAGCAACGGTAGCATGGCGGCCATCATGTGGCTCAGCTTTGCTGGATCTTTGTCAAACAGCTGTGCTGGCATTTATGACTTCCGCCATCCCCATTAGCCGTGGCTGTGCCATCTTCCTTTTTTCTGTTTGTGAACTTAAGCTCTGTCCTGAAACAAAATAAGTGAGAGATTGTAAAAATCTTTTTGTAATCTCGGAAGCTAAGGTAGATTCTAGTTGAGCTGAACTGATGTCTGCACTTCGTTGATACAAAGACTGCATGTTTGTAGCTAGTTTAGAATTGTTTCGTTCACCATGGAGGTGGGAAAACAGGCTGTTGATTCATAGTATTTACTTGGGGCCCATTACCTGTGAGAGGGAGAATCAAGCCAATTCCACAAAGCTGACAGGAACCCTTTTAAAGCTTACAAAAAGGGAGGTAAAAGAACATCAGGGTTTCTAAAACTGCTTACTTCGCCTTCAGAAGGGTACCAAGGAGTGTTATTAACTTTGCAATCAAGAATATTTTCCTTGTTCAAAGTAGTTCTTTGTTTCTGAGGCAAAATACAAAAACTTAATGATTCAGTCACAGTTTATTAGCTTCAAAATCTCCCAAAGTTTTCTTCTTAAATGATTTGCTCCAGATCACATATCTTGTGCTCATTCGTACCACTCAAGTAATAATTAATATAGAAGACTCAGTATCTTATATAGCTAGTTCTCCCAGGGAATCACTATAAGTTTTTTTAATTCTTAACATCAATTTTCACAAAAGTTGTCACATGGTCCTAGTTCTAGCCTTCAGTGAGGGGCCCTTAAGTGCAAGGAGTTCAAACATTAAACATGTCAAAGACATAGGGAACAGTAGTGCAGCGACTTCCAGCAAGACTAGTGAAGGGTCAGTACAAATCATTCAAGCACTGTGTTCTTTGTCAAGCAGCAGCTCCAGGACACTTGGCATCACCATCCGTATAATCGGAATTCAAGGGGGACAGTGAAGTTAGTCCAAGTTGTCCGAGCACTGTGATCTTTGTCAAACAGCTGTGCTGGCTTTATGACTTCTTCCATTCCTATCAGATATGGCTGTGCCACATTTCTTTTAGATTTTCCAGCTGGATAGAACACAGATTTTTAAAGTATATCCTTATGATTCTCTGGATTTCCTCAGTGTCTATTGTAGGAGGAAGGTTGCTTGTTAGTTCCCAGCCACTTAGCCCCAAAATAGTAACACAAAAACTGTATTATTCAAATCACTGCTTGGCCCATTAGCTCTAGCTTCTTATTGGCTAACTCTTACATATTAATTTAACCCATCTCCATTCATCTGTGCATCACCACAAGGTAGTGGCCTACCAGCAAAGTTTCAGCACATCCATCTTCAGCAGCTGCTCCATGGCTTCTCCTTTACTCTGCCCCCTTTCTCCCAGCATTCAGCTTAGTTTTCCTCACCTAGCTCTGTTCCTATATAGCTCTGCTATAGGCCAAGAGTAGTCCTTTATTAACCAATGATATTCGCAGCATACCGAGAGGAAATCCCACATCAGTCTATTGTTATACCTTCATTTTCTTTCTAATTTTCTTAATTTGGACTGTCTTTCTCCACCTTTAGGTTAAGTTGGATTATTATTTGTTGCCCTTATTAATTTTCTCCAAGAACCAATTCTTTTTTTTCTTGATTCTTTGTATTTACTTTTGTTTCTATTGTATTGATTTCAGCCCTGAGCTTGAATACTTTTTGATGTCTACCCCTTTCAGGTGTAATTTATTCCTTTATTTCTAGAGTTCTCAGGTGTGTTTTTAAGTTACTAGTATGAGATTTGTCCCCTTCTTACCTGTAATGAAAGGATTTAGTGCTATGAACTTGCTTCTTAGAATACCCTCTTTGTATCCTACGAGTTTGAGTAGTCTGTGTATTCATTTTTATTCAATTCTAGAAAGTCTTAAATTTCTTTCTTACTTTCTGTCTTGGCTTATTTTTCATTTAGTATCAGTGAGTTGCTCATTTTCCAAGTGTTTGTAAGCTTCCTGTTGTTTGTTGGTAGCCAACTTCAATCTTTGGTGGTCAGATGGAATGCAGTTAGTTTTTCAGTTTTCTTGTTTGTGGTGCAACTAGCTTGGTGTTTGAGTATGTGGTCAATTATGAAGAATTTTCTATGAGATGATGAGATGGTCATATATTCTTTTTGTTTGTGTGAAATGTTCTGGTTCATAACATCTGTATATCCATTCTTTCTCTGTTTAGATTTTGTCTGGATTAGCTTAATTGGTGAGAGTAGGGCTATTGAAGTCTTTGTCTTTCCATGTGTGAATAAGTGATTGAAGGTATAGCAGTATTTCCTTTATGAGCTTTGGTACCCTCTCCTTTGATGGTTAGATGTTAAGAATTGCAATTACTTCTGATTTTTTTTTTTTTTTTGCTTTTGAGGAATATGTAGGGTCCTTCTCTGTCTTTTCTGATTAGTTTTGGTTTGAAGTCCATTTTGTCAGATATTAAAATGACCACACCAGTTTGTTTCTTTTGTCTGTGTGTTTGAAATATCTTTTCTTATCCTTTTATTCTGAGGTGATATCCTTTCTTGAAATTAAGGTTTATTTCTTGGTTACAACCAAAGCATTTTTGTGTGTTTGGAATCACGTAAGCTTTGAGAAAGTGAACATGTGGTCAAATCTTTCCATTAAATATTTTCTTTCATTAATTGCGAATAGGAAAGTTTTTATAGTAAAATATAACATATATTGCTTGTAAATATTACAGAGCTAAGTAATCTGGAATTCTCTTTCTCTTCTTTTTTCGGCATTTAAAAATTATAATGTTTAAACATTTTGTATTTTCTTAGATTAAATAAAACCTACTCTGTTTTCTAAAGATAGTTTTAATAATTAATTTACCATTAGAATAATTACTGTATCTATGCTAATAGATTTAGATTTGACATCAGGAAAGGTGAATCTATTCAGAGGACTGGAAACCACTTCAAGATAGTATTTTGATCCTCACTTCTAAGAAGGATCCACTCATTACCAGATGGTTGTTTTTTTGGTGTGTGGTATTTACAGTATATATTTACTGGCTCTAAATATATCAGACTGTATTTCCAAAATCATTAACATTTTAATACACCACAGCAGTATAATTGTTTCTTGATAGTCTTTCTCCTTTTAAATATTATTTTCGGTTTATCCTATAAGAAAATAAGTTTCCTTGTAGCATCTTTATATATAAGTGTCATTAATTATTATTTTCATTGGATTATTCAGCAAAAATGCCTCTTGCCAGGGTAGGGCCATTGGAATTTAGAAATATAGTAAAGAATATGAAGATGCATTTAAAAATAGTAAAACAGAAATATATAAAATAGTACCAGGAGGGAGTTCTAGTGAATACTGAAATTGCCCAGGTTTAATTTCCTATTGCTTAATATACCCCTGACCCCACAGGTAAGACAAAAAAGAACTGCATAGTCTTTTCTTAATTTCTAAAAGAAATTCAGAGAAGCTTCCTCCTGCCACAGATGGTAACAATTTTTTTCCAACAAAATATATTCAGTGTAAGTTTCTATGGCGAATAAATAAAATTCCAAAATTATTTGATTCTACTCTAGAGGCAGATTTTATTAATCTACATTATCTTGGAACTTATCATATAGCCCAAGATAGCCCCAAACTGATAATCCTACTTCAGTTTCCAGGTTTACTCTATTAAAATGCAATAAAAATATCCAGAAGACAATATTTAAGTAATGCTGGGTTTTTTTTTGTTGTTGTTGTTGTTGTTGTTCTTCACTCTGTCTCTTTGTTCTTTGCTCTTATGGGGGCCCACCACTCAGCTCCCAAATAGACAAACATGGATTCTTATTCTTACTGATGAATATCCAACCTTAGCTTGGCTGAGTTCTTGCCAGCTTTTCCCAACTTAAATTAACCTGCCTATATTTCGTCACTAGGCTTTTTTCTTTCTTAATTTCTGTATACCTTTCTTTACTTCTTTTTAGTGGCCGACTGTGTAGCTGGTGTCTAGCCCTCGGAGTTTTCCTTCTTCCTCTTTCTCTTGCTCCTCGATCTTTTCCTCCCAGATTTCTCATCCCCTCTGCCTATTGTTTGTTCTGTCTTGTTATTGGCGTTTGGTTCTTTATTAGATCAATCAGGTGTCTTAGACAGGCAAAGCAGCACAGCTTCACAGAGTTAAACAAATGTAACACAAAAGAATGTAACACATCTTTGCATCATTAACAAAAGTTCCACAGCATAATAAGCAGCAGATGTAGCACTTTTTTTTTTTTTTTTTTTTTTTTTTTTTTTTTTTTTTTTTTTTTNCGACAGGGTTTCTCTTGAGCCTATCTTGGAAATCTGTCTTGATCTGTTGTAGATCCACCTATCTCTGTCTTTCTTGTGCTGGAATTAAAGACATGCATCACCACCGCCTGGCTGTAGCACATCTTAAAATAATGTTCTACAACATTCAAGTGCTTAAAATGTTAAAGATTTTCTGACTAAAAATGAATTAATACAGTGAGCAAAAATACAGTTCCAGATCTGTTCATAAACATATTCTTGGAAATATCTAGAGGGGTGAGTGGCTAAAATGCTTGTCATGCAAACATGAAGATCTGAGTTCAGATCCTGGGCACCCACAGAAAAATCTGTGCATGGAAGTGCACCTCTCTAATCTGGGTGCAGTGGAGGAGAAAAAAGGCAGAGCGTGGAGCTAACTGGATAGTCAGCTTCACTAAAGTAGTGAGCTCAAAGTTCAGGAAGAGACCTTGTCACAAAGAATAAGGTGGAGAATGATTGATGAAAACATGAGAGTGTTCTGGGATAATCCTTCTGTGCACTGTGGATATGTGTGCCCTCACAGGCTGAAAATAAAAGTTGATTTGACCTGTAGCTAGGAAGAATATGGATAGGGGAAAGCCAAATGGATGGAATCACAGAGAGATGGAGCCAGCCAACCAAGAAGCAAGATGCCATAGGACCTGTAAAGCTGTGGTCACATGGCAATACAAAGATTAATATAAATGGATTAATTTAAAAGTAAGAGCTAGTTAGTAATAAGCCTGAGCTATTAGCCAAACATCTGTAATTAATATTAAGACTTAGAGTGATTATTTAAAAGTAACTGTGAGATGGAGCAGGACAAAGTAACCTCAGTTTATACATGAACTTAACCTCT